TGACAAAGCAATGAGCCATTTTAGCAACAGTGTCGACGTACCCAAGATCTTACAGTTACAGTTTATTTTTAACCCAGTCGTGATTTATTTAGGAGTCTGCTTTCGTGGTACTGGGAGCAGTCTGCTCAGCTGACTCTTGACTCCCCCCTGTCCCATCCCCAGGTGGGCTGGATGAGAGGAAATGTGGGTTTCCCATGTTGACACAAGGTGTCATACAGTGCTGTACCTCTGTACCTTCCTCTGTTCTAATTTTTCTATTTTGGTGTAACTTTATTTCTGACGCAGGTCCATATTAGCATCTAAAGTCTAAATAATCTTTATGATCTTTTAAATTTCAAGTTGCAATTACATTGCATCCTTCGTGTATGTGATGTAGATGCTGAAACTTTATAGACAAGTCCTGCAGCTGATTTATGTACTGTGCTGTCAAGTGCAGCTGCCATTACTGTGTTGGCAGTAACTGAACACATTTACACTGACAGTGAAAGCAGAGATGTTTGGGTTACCTCACAGTCAGCAGTCCCATCCTGCGACAGATAAAGGTGGTCTGTGTGAATGTGGACGTCTCAAATCTCTAGCATGAAATTAGTTATCACACAGGCTTTGGGGAAAAACAACATTAACATACAGCTTCTGTCCGACCTCCACAGTTTGGATGTGAAAGGGCAGTCTGGAGAGGCTAGTTAAACCTAGCGGGACTAGGTAGTTTATGATTTTAAGTAATCAAACTCAATGATTTCTTACTTTGGAATCAGGAGAAATGTATCATTTAATAAAAACTGTAAATACATGAGCAGGAAACAGAGCTAGCAAGAGATCAGCACTATTGGCACTGTGTGGGCAGATTGCTCAATCTTAAACTGTCCCTCGCCGGCACTTTGTCAGCATACCGCACTGGATTTGGCTTTTACTGTCCATTTTTTTTTTAAAGTTGAAGTTTCCTGTTGGAGCAGACATCAAGTTAACAAAATTTTGTTGAAAAAATGTATTTTTTTAATCTTATAAACCTAAAATTTGAATGGCATTTGAAGATTATATTTTGAGCATATAACTCTATATTGCTCTATCTTCTGGACCGTTTAGCCACAAGGAGTTGCCCCCATTGATTTTTTTGGGGGAAAATGGTGTACCATCCTCCTACCATCCCCTTGGTTAAATTTAAACAAGTGAGGCTCTGCCCACTCAGCTAAGAAGACGGCTGTAAGTGAGAGTTATAATGGCAGACACAGCGAGCAGTCTCTGCCTTGTCAGTCACCTACTGAGGTCTTTTCTGTCCAACATAATGGCTCCATAAATCTTCCTGAATAGTAATCTGCACTCAAGGGGCCATGTTGTTTTTAGGGTCGGACATGGAAAAAAAAATTCAACCTGAACAATAGTGGAAGACAAAAACAGATTTGACCCTAAAAAAACAATTAAACCTGATGTCTTTTCAGTTGCAGTCTTACAAAGTCACCCTTAAACCTGGCAAAAACTGAGACACTGAAGTTTCAAATTTGATTGCAGCTGCACAATTGAATGCAAATGCTTTTATAGTTCTCTTTCACTTTGGACTTAGATGTACTCATGATACTGTTAATGGATTGGACGGCGGCCTAATCTAGCCTCATGTCGTGCTCTGTGATAGTGCTCTCATCACAGGGTCCTGCCTGGCCGCTGATTATCTCCATAAGTGCCTCAGCCTGTGCCAAAGACTAAATGCGAGACAAGTCACTTTGAGGGGATGACTTATTGGGAGCTGGTTGTTGAGCACAAAGCCCAGTCGTTTATACAAAGCTAGCCAAATGGTTAGCATTCACGCTGCTCCCTATCAAGTGAACTTGCCATGACCTGGCCGAGTATATCGCCCAATGTGTCCGTCATATCCTTTCTCTCTCAACAGATGCAGGTATTAATAGGGAGCCTCGAGGGAGATTCGAAAGGTTAATTAATCTGTAGCCTTAAGCAATATGGCACCAGATTCACCCTTCATAGATACAAGGAGCAGCAGACCTTCTCCTAGATGAGCAGATGGGTCCTGTGGCACTGAGCAAGGCGGGTCGCCTGTACTATAACAACTCCAGTTGAATAGAGCTCTAATCCTATAAATCCTATAATAGTTGTTTCTAATAAGATCACTTTCTTTGGTCGAGTACTTGCTGTCAAATATGCTTTAATGCTTATTAATATTTAATACAGATCCATGCTTTGTTGTTCTAAAGAATGGATTAGGACACTACATGATTAATTTGACTCAAATACATGTACTTGTGACAAAAAAAGTGAACGAAAACAGGACAAGTACGTCATTACACAAGTTTACTTGCCCTTCATGCCCTTGTTAAGCCTCAGCGGATCTGCCTCAGGGGTGTGGAACATCCATCTTGTCCTCCTCAGGTACTGGCCTCGGTTATATGAACATTTTAAGCATCACGCTCATGAGTCATACTGCATTTTGGATTCCCCAGATACCTTTATTTTCCCAGTCTGCTGCAGGGGCCTCTTCATATTGACAAAACTCATTTATGACTGAGATGACTAACATTTTATTGTTGCTTTAAAAGACAGCGTGCCTTTTTAAAAGACACTGAAGAGAAGTGTGAAGATTTATAACATGTTTGCAAGACACAGTTTATTAAGCAGCTTTGATTTGGCTCATACTGGTTACTTCACACCCGTGTGTCTTACCACTTCTGAGCTCTTATCTGGTGTCCATAGGCACCATTTCTAACCACTTTACTAGACCATATGACACAAAGTGATCTTTGCTCTAACCAACTTTTGAGGGTTGTGATATTTATTCAAGCATTAATGTCCAAAAGAATTAGCCAAAAAGTCAAAGTGGCAGGAAACCCTCCTAACAGCACCCCTCTCTTTTCATTAAAATTTAAAAGAGCTCTGGAGTTACATAAGGATATGCCCTGGGAACATGGAGACCTGGGGTGTGCGACACACACGCACGCAGTCCATGTTGTTGCAGTCTCAGCAGGCATGAAAAGGACCGGCTGAGGAGGTGGGAGATGTTACGAGATCATGAACGGATGTTTCAGCCTCCAGTGACTCGACTAACTTCAGTGGAGCAGCAGGAACCAGAGCAGGCTGGTAGTGTCGAGTGACACAGACATATTGTCACGCTGGTCAAGACCCAGGGGACACACAGAGACGAGTGTGACAGCGAGGCACAGATGCAGAGATAAGGGAAAAAGGTTTTATTCAGTAAAACTAGCGCTAATCTGTCTTCATTGCAAAGGCGAGACAGATGACCATCCACCTACCTACAAAAAGTTACTCCGTTATTATGCAAGACTGACAGCTTGCCGGTTAACGGCAATCTGTCTGCTACCAGCCAGCAACTCAACAAGCCATTCAGTCAGCAAGCTGCTAATTTTCCTGGTGCCAGTCTGTAAGTCTGTTAGCCAACTGGTCCGTGTTTACTGGCAGGTAGCGAGGAGACAGGGTTGTAAATCTGTTCATCCTGCAGTCTGTTGTAATCTGTCCAGATTGATCAGAAGTTTTAAAATGGTATTCCCCAGCAGGCCAATCAGGGGCCACTAACCGACCCCCGGTTGTCTTGTACTGTTGTTGGATTTATTAGCTCCTGTAAATATTTCAAGGAGGTCTTCTGGGAGTTGTTGCAGTGATGCAAGCTCTCAACCAGAGACACCATGTGCTCTCCAGTGTTTACTTTCTAAACGTCACCGCCTATGTGGGAGCCCGGAGGGGGAGGGAAGGTATCCAGTGCTGTCAGGCAGTAAGGAGTAGTGAGTTGTGTTCTATCACAGGAACAGGCTTTGCTGTGTTCCTGACTTGTCTGTACTATGCTCAGGATAAAATCATGAGAATCGATGAACAGTTTGATGAATAAATAAAGGATTTTCGTCATCTACTCAGGGTTCATCTAGCACCGTGATCAGTTTTAGATATTTCTTTCAGGTGTTGGAGTCCAAAAACATAGCTAAAAGAAGACTCCACATGGCTCCATATGAATGCTAATGTAGCTTCATATCGGCAAGATGTTCACCGTACAAACTTAAAAGGTTACTGTCTGTGTTTACAGCTTGTTTCCTAGTGGCACGCGTTCTTGCCGGTTTAAGAACTACCACAACGCGGTTTCCAGTTTATTTTTTACCATAGAGCTGTATGTCTTACATCCTGTGTTTGTTTATCAAAGAGGGATGAAACAGATGGGAATAGTACCTATTTCAAGGATTTTCCAAGAAGGCCGACACCCTACTAAATTAAAAATCTACACAACAGGCACCTTATCTGCACACTTGCGTTGTAGCCAATAAAAGTCAGAGAGCAGATGTGTTCATTGCGCCTCTTTTGAGACAAATTACAGAGTTGTCTTGGGAGTCACTGTTCTTTCATTTATTTCTCCACATAGCCACAAAATTAGAGCGAGGCTGCCATATTATCATCTCGGGGATCTCTCACCGATTGTTGATGACAAGATAATTAAATGCAGGGATTTAAAAAAAAGTCCAACATGCGTTTTATCTCAAAGAGAAATTTTGTGGGCTGCTGTGCAAATTGGACATTCACTTCGATTTAAAGGTTTGTAAAACCCGGTATACTACCACATGGTAGCTGGCTGGTGGTCTAAAATGATCTGTTTAGTTGAGTTTTTCTTTGGCAGTGTGGTGTAAGAGCAAACATTAGAAGCATAAACATTTGTTCATGTCATCAAGGCTTTAGCTGAAGCCATCAGTGTGCTGCAGTTTAATATTAAAGTCTCAGGACAAAGAAGGGAGGTGGTTGATTTTTGGGTAATTCCATTGTTTTTCATCAAAGCCGACACCATAACTCTTGAATTCTTGATTGGTTGTTTGCAATAAAATCCCCCCCATCCCCCCCAAATGAACAGCAGCCAAATATATCAGTTCTTTGCTTTTATAGTTGTTGGTTATAGCGTCAGAAGTTGGATATGGATCTGTTATTCTAGCTTGTGTTTCATCTTTTTTTTTAACATGTTCTTGGACCAGACATAAAGAAACGACTTCTCTCTCTTCTCTCCACAGATCCACAATGACTTTTGCTAAACGGCCACTGGTCAGAGCCTAGTGCTGATCCATCGAAGAGCACTATGAGTAGATGACAACAAGCAGCCTTTAATCCAGAAAGGATTCCTCTTCTCTGTGCTACGAGTCTGCTAACTGTTTGTAAAGACCACTGGGAGTACAAGAATCAAGCCAAGGACACGTTCACTCCCCCTCAGCCTGCAGGAAGATGGGAGTGAAAAAATAAAGCTCTGCGGAGTCAAGAGGAGCTTAATGAATACCAAGGAATCTTAAAACAAACTGTGCAATTGTGTATGTCTGTGTGAGAGGATCGGGCAACCATGTGGACATTAGCTACGACTGTCCACTATCTTCTGGCTGCTGCACTGCTATTGGCTTGCTGCCTCCAATCACTGTTGGCCACTGAGGATGATGTCACACCTCGCATCAGTTTCCCTTACAGTAAGTACAAATAATTAACTGACACACTCAGTATTGATCTTTGTAAGCATTGCTGGAAACGAGCAATTCCTGTGTTATTGTAGTTTCTAAAATAATAATTCACTGCTCACAGTGCTAATTCGGTATATAAAGCGTTTGGATGTTGGTTTCTTTTTTATCCTTTCAAAAACCAAAAGTATAAAAGCAAAAATGTGAGGAATTGATTTAACAGTCTTAATCTGATCCAGTGTAAACCGCAAACATTAGCATTCCCAGCTAATCAACTTACTACCAACAATAGTAATGTAATTTAGCATTGCTTCCAAGGCAAGCGGCAGTTTATAATACATTATTTTGTGGGGTTACAGGCTATGTTTAAAAAAAAAAAAAGGCCCGGTCAACTCCACACAATATAACATAATTTAGGTTAATGGTGAACAACAAACAAGTGTGTCGTGAAGCAACCTTTTCAACAGTATATTGACACAGAAATGTCAGAGACTACAAGTGCCTTCCGGCCCAGATGCACACGCGCCAAGACGTCTGCACTACAAATACCACTTCTCAATAATACATGCAATTATAAGTTTTTTCCCTGAAGGTCTTTTTTTTTTTTTTTAAGATTAGCTGTCACTTTGCACAGAATTATGTGTGTTTTCTCACCGTGAGCCTTGACAGAACAATGGGGTGAAGTATGCATGGCATAACATGTGACTCCTCAGAGTCAGAGTTACTCAAGTGCAACAATTTGGGACCTAGTAACACATTCTGCAGCACATATAGTCTGGCTTCGTACCTTCAAATGCACTCAGTTCTTCCTCCCTTTTGCCCCTAGTTGACCTTTTGTTATTGTCCAGTTGAATGCAACAATTTATCACTCAAACATAAACTTAATGTCTCTCCCGGTGAGTCCATTGATTGAATGGGAGACCTTTTTGCGCCTGACTTCATCATTGCATGTAATTACTCCGCACACACTGCAGCCCTCCTCATATTATAATGACTTTGGATTAAGCTTTTATAATGCAAAAACGTGGGGCTATTATTCAGTATTTGTTCAGCTAACAGCTTTTTGGCAATTGATTGATGCATTATGGGAGCTTATGACAGATGAGAGAGAAAAGAGAAATAAGGTTGCTGTTTGGATGCAGCTCACAGGAGAAATTGACTGCTTCTCAGGGAAGTGTTGCTAAACTTTTTTAACATCTTATGTTGTAGCTGTTAAAAGAAAAGGACAGCTTTACACAGGCAACAAATTGATTCTCAAAATTAGCTCCCTGGTTTATGTATTTTTTATCCTGACCTTGTCTCTGTTTTGCAACACTGCTCATACAGGCAAATATGCCGATCCAGCAGCAGCCGAAGTATAGGCTTATATGGACGTAGGGGTGCGTGTGCTCCTGTAAACACTACCTGTCTGAGTCTGAAGTTCCTCCCTCTGAAAACAACAATGCTTGTTTTCTTCAGCCAGCTCAGTGAGGCGTAATGCTGTAATTCACATGCACCATCTCAAACTGGCATAGCTTATACCCAAGAACAACCTTTCACATACTTGAGCCATTTAACTTGTTTCTGAAAGAACTAAATGGATTAAATTGGCCCAAGGCTGGTTCCCAGCAACTGAGTGTTTTGCAAACCAATGATGTTTTTTTTTCTCTCCCTCTTTGCTTTACTCCACTCAGCATTCATAATCTAAATTTCATGTATTTTGACACCAGCAGTCAGTGATTGAGATTCTTTCAGCTGGAGAGCATAAGTAGTGGTGTGAGACAACATGCTTTTCAGCTGATGATACGGTGTAGAAAATCTTATTTAAACGTCACTGACACTTATTGTAACCTATTCATTAAGGGTACAGCTTTGCATAAACAGGGTCTACAGCATCACTGACATACTTAATGTTTCGTATATAAACTAGCCTCAATTCAACCCGCAGCATTGAGGCGAAACATGTAAAGCAGGTCACCCCTTTAAACCTCCATTCTGGTTTGTAAGGTCTGTAAGAAAGAGGGACCCGGGTTGTTTTCTCGAGAGAGAGGACCCTTGCCTCAACATGGCCTTTTTCCTGGAAAGGCGTCCCTTTTCTTTTTGTCCTCCTTCCCTCTCCTCCTCCTGCTCCTTCCTTCTCTCCTAATGAGCAGGCTAATCTCTCATGTGTAGTGAGAGGAGGTTTTTGTGGTCCCTGCACTGGGAGAGCTTGTCTGTTTTTCATTATGGCTCTAGTGCAGAGAGACGGCACAAAGGATCATGGGACTTGAAGCAGTAAGCATCGGTTAAGCATGCGGCATGTATCACTGTTGGTTATCAGAAACTTCTCAGTGCATCTCTGACGAAAAACCGTAACATCCTGCTTGAGAAGATGATTTATTTTTCCTCTTTTATTTTCCTTTCACTTGGAAGAAGAAGAAGAAATTCAAGCTCTGCACTTAATAACAGTTTACATTAATGAGCTCGTTAGGGCATTTAGGAACAACTTGATCTTTATTTTTTTTAAGTTTGTGTCGAGTGCAAGAACTGTATTGTATGTCACCCTGTTTTTGCTGTGATTCTGGTTCCTCTTAAAGGAACAGTTCACCATTTTTGTCATTTTGAATATAAAAATAGCTTTATATTTAGCAGACAGATGAGGATGGAGAATTTAAATGAAGAATTTCTTGATTATCAACTACATTGTAGTATATGTTGCCCCAAGAGAAATTTAGAATATGTGTTGATAGTCACAAAGAATCACAGTCAATCCTGTGTCTTTTTGCAGGTAACTTATTGATTTTGAATCTTGTGTTTAATTGCGATAAATTAATAAATGTAGGCTCTTTCTCCTAATTGTCACAAGTAGGCATCCAGAGACTGTCAGTTACTGTTTTATATGCAAGGTCTGTATGTGATGTACTGTATGTATAACAAAGGAATCATTCACATCAGAAGGGAACATTTTCAGTCGTAATACTTTCATGGAGACTGCTAGTAGGGAAGCAAATCAAAATAAGATACAGAGCATGCTGTGTGTGCTCAGCGTACACAGTGTCCTTTCCCGTTTTACGTTTGGTTTATGTTCAGCGAATATTGTGCGCTTTCTCTCATGCATGCTAATCCAGTGACCTTGGCAGTGTGCAGATCACAGTGCAGAAACAGAGGAGGGGCAGCGAGGGGGGGGTCAGGCCAAATACTCATGACATGCTCCGATGCCCACCTAAAACCCGGCAAGGACACGCCCACTGATCCTGAAAGAAAAGCGGTCTGTGGCTTCCAGCAGAGGTGGCACTCACAAGTGCCTGCGTATAACACCATAACAGGCACAACAATGGAACATAATTACAGCACATCAACTCCGTCTGTTTCAGACGTTTTAATGGCTTCATCACTTGCACGCTCCAGGGAATGTACAGAAAAGTTCAGTCTTTGCAGATTTCAATCAGGAACATTTGATCTGAAGAAAATGGCAAGCAGCGAGAAATAATGGTGTAGCTATTAATTAAGATGGACAGAGAGGAATGTGAGGTTAAAGAGAGTCATTAGTTGTTTTTTGGATCTCTGGGATGCAGTGTAGAATTGTCCAAAACATAAATGGAGTTTGCCTCATCACTATTAACATAATTTTTTCATAGTTTTACAGTTAATATGACCCCCAATATTTTTGATGAATGACTGAATTTTATATTTCATAGCGTGATGAATCATGGTTCCTGTGGTGCTGGCTGTAAATCACTCTGAACAACTTGTATACTGAAGTCACACAACATAACATTAAATTTTATGACACACAAACTAATGCTTTTCGTCACACCTCATAGTCTATGTTGCTTTCAAAAGAGAATGTTCTTCACAGGGAGCTTTGATGCCGCTCTTATGGGAAGATAATCTGAGACTTGGATGCCATTTACACTGAGTCACTTCATGTGTCTTGGGCATCTGTCTATCTATCTGGTTTCAAAAAAGTGTAAATGCTTCTCAGGAACCATTCAAGCCTGATTGAAATGTTCGAACCATAAAGGATAAACTACAGTGTCCGCAAAACAGGTGCAAAACTATTTTCTTTGTATTGCAGAAGTGGTAACGGACTATGTAGAATTACAACCTGGCTTGTGACATAAGAAGCACACATTATGAAAAATGAAATAATTTTTTTTATGCCTTTTTAAAAATATGTCACTACCGCACACCATTATTATCTAAAAACAACGCACTACAAAAGTAATGCATGTGCTCAGGAGACATTTTATATTTGAGTTGAAGTGGAACTTAAATAGTTAAAAGCCGTTGTCTCGTGTATCTTTCATTAAAAGTCAGAACTTTCCTGATTCAGTTCCAGTATGTTAATACACTCCACATGTCTTTTATTCCTACTTGTGTGTGTAAAAGAGAGCGTGAGATGTGTGTCCCTGTGAGGCCTGACTGGCTGACTATATACTATATAGACTGAGCTGAAGGATTCTCATTTTATGGACATCCTATCGGTCTGATTTCTAAATGATCAGTAATGGCAGCTGACAGTCTGCAGTGCGTGCAGGTGTAGCCCTCACGGATTCATGAGAGGAAGCGTTGTCCTTATCAATATGAATTACAACTGTTGACAGAGAGGATGGAGGTAGATTTTAGCTCACCAGGCTCCTGATAGCAGCATGACTACAGGAAATAAATGTGTCACTGAAGAGGTGTGTGTGTGTATGTTTGTGTGTAACAAAAGCTATTAGCAAGGAGTGTAAACCCAGTGTGCTTGACCACTTCTTGTCCTCAGATACTTTGTGGTGGATGAGTACAGAGCAGGATACTCAGTTGCGACTCCAGCCTGTTCTTCTCATCAAGGGCCCCTCCAGAGACACGAGCACACACACACGCACACGCACACGCACACACACACAGGGTATAGGATTGTGTCTGCATGCTGTGGTAGCACTTAAAGACCTCCAACACATGCCAGTCCAAAGTGAGTGCACTTAGTAAGCTGCACACAGCTCCACTGGTGCCCTAAAAATCGACAAGTGTGCAAGCTGGAAAATGGCAGAAGAGATGTATGGAAGTGT